CCGGTAGATAAGCCCGCACCGATTTCACGTAAATAAGACTCTTCCGCTTGTGCGGTGTACGCTGTACACCGTGGGAGGAAATGTAGCCTTATAGTGGTAATTCGATGCCCCAGTTGCGAGTTTTTTTACTTCCTAAAGCCATAACTCCGTTCAAACTCATCAATCCGAAAAGTTAATACGTCATACAAAACTAGAAGATTTTCTCTATCAAACGGTTGCTAAAGCAGCTTTATACGTCCAGTATTCAAAAAATGGCCACGTTGAGGATTTTTGCAAAATTAACGAGGAAAATTCGTGATGAGTGCGAGTTTTTACGCTTTCCAAAGCCATAACTCCGTTCAAACTCATCCAATCTGAAAAGTTAATACGTCATCAAAACTAGAAGATTTGCTCTATCAAACGGTTACTAAACAGCTTTATACGTCCAGTATTTAAAAAATGGCCACGTTGAGGATTTTTGCAAAATTAACGAGGAAAATTCGTGATGAGTGCGAGTTTTTACGCTTTCCAAAGCCATAACTCCGTTCAAACTCATCCAATCTGAAAAGTTAATACGTCATCATAAACTAGAAGATTTGCTCTATCAACGGTTACTAAACTGCTAAATACGTCCACTATTTAAAAAATGGCCACGTTGAGGATTTTTGCCCGAGTACCGCCGAAAGGTACTTTTTCGCTGCATTAGCACTATTCCAACGACTATAGCTCCTTTCAGGGGCGATTACATACTAAAGTAGGAGCAGATTCGAAATCCTCGTGCTTTAAAAGTGTAAAATTGTTTAGCGGTCTCAACTTTAAAGGTTACATGCTTGTGAATTTGACGCTGAAGGCTGCGTTTCTTGTTGAATGGTGTACTCCTCCTGTAATTTCACATGAACCCTTTCAGAATCCTCTTGATTTTTCCTGAATTGAGATTCTTTCTCCAGAGAGCCGTAGTTGAAGCGCGCGCAACCAACTGGGCCCACTCTGGGATGCGCCGTGTGCTTCACATCCCTTTGGATTTGAGGACTCACTTGAAAGATAAAATATCCCTTGGAAAACGTGCGAATTTCGGATTCTTTAACTTGTGTGGTGATAAAACACTGAAGTAACTAAGAATTACGGACACCTCAGAATCACGAAGATTTTGTGTGGGCGAATCAATTGTTATTGGAAATACTCTGGCCTGGCATCGACTCGATCCTTGATGTTTGTCCTCCGACGATGATCCTACTGCATCAATCGGCCCGATCTCTTCCCCCAGCGGGCCAATACGACCCCCCCCCCTGTGACATGTCGAGGATTCCTCAACGCACGCTTGACCCTGGTGCAGCCCTTCGCATTTCGGGTGCAGTCACTCGACTTAGGCTTTCTACGTCGAGGTCTTGCAGCTATTTAGATAGTGTCTGTTTTTTTTGAACGAACAACTCTGGCTAATTTTCTGATCCATAACTTCTTGAGAAGCAAGATTATGGACAGTGATTTGTCGAGTATGCACTGTAATTCGGCTTCCTATTATAATAAAACAATTTAATAGTATTGAACAGAGGCGCTCCTGCTGGTGAGAAGGGAATTTGCGGGATATCTCAGATCTTTTGTATCTACACTGTGTTAAGCGGGAGTGTTGAATAGAGACTGACAGCGTTTTAGTATAAATAGTTGTATTTCAATCAGTTTGACTCCGCGCGCGACGCCGCATGTCGAAATAGGCTATAGCAACACTAAGCATAGCCGTGCTCTCATATTAAGCAGCATGCATGCTTTCAAAGAATCTAGCTGATATCTGAACAGCCCTAAGAAGTTGTTATCATTCTTCACCATACGCCAAATATGTCCGTACCCGTCCCACCCCATATCGTTTCCCAAAACCAACTCCTGACGACTGCTGCTCCGCGCGCTATGATTTCGTTTCAAAGCGCTAACAGACCTACATTGGCGCGCACACGTGCAGACATATATAGTAAATCTATACATTAGGATTGCAATACTGTTTGCCGACGATAATAGCGAATTCATTCAGCTCTATTGGCTTGACGCGGCACTGCGTTCTATTGCATAGTATCCCTGAGTTTCTGTAATCACTTGAAATGAATGCTATTTGCAAGTCATTCAATAAACAAGGCAAGGTTTCTTCATATGCATAGGCCTACTACATTCCAGAATTACGGTAGCAACAAGAAATGAATGCTGAATGAGTTCCAAGAAGTTTCAAGGGGGCCATGTTGCTAATTTATACTCATGTTTTCGATTAGAGAATAGAGAAGAAAGGGCTGCCCACACCTTATTGCGAGTCAAACAAACGATATTCCAACGTGCTAGTCTATTTTGCTTTCAAAATCGGGTATTAGGTAAGAGATGTCGCATCGATTTGGAAAACCGGTGATGAGATAATGATATTTCAATTGAGTGCTCCAGTTTTCCATATGTTTTGCAATGGTTCTTTCAAGAGTGCGAAGTAATAATTAGATTTTGGCAAACGTTAACACACCACAGAGCTAGGTAACTTCCCTTCAAAAAGCGAGAAAGTGTCGGGTGCAGACCATGCACCACAAGTGACGACGGCCTTCACAAAATGTTAATGTTTTCTGCCAATGAAATGATTAGCCTGTTGCAGTTGTATTCTATCGATTGTCACTAATTACAACTATCATTTACCAAATCAGCTATCACTATGAACAACTTCTAACCAGATTTACTTGGAGGCCGTCGTCGGTTGTTAATTATCATATAATCGTCGGTTACTAATGAGGGTTGATGGCCTGCATCCGACACTTTCTCGCTTTTTGAAGGGGGGTATACTTTCATGTGAGATGGGCTAGCAAAAAGCCATGATTCAGCCGTGACCTCGTTTCCTATCCAGGAATGTCCAAGTAGTTCAGATGTTCGTCTCGACTCCTTTTATTATCCACATAACAATTCTGTGCTCAGGTCAGTGAACATGGCTAAATTTAGTTAAATTCATACTTATTTACAATATAAGAATCACAAGTTATGTAGCTTTGATTGTTTTAAGAAATTTACCTTGGATCAATATGCCTAAAATGAAAAACTCGAACTATATTTTATTTCACCACATCCGTTTTAGCTCATCGAAATAATTAGAAGACGCAGCTAGTTGATTCTCAACAACGACAGCTGTCCTTTTGTGACGCTTCATGATATGGTCGAATTTCTCGCTGCGCAATGTTAAAGCCAATCCAAAGAAGATCCGCTGATAGGCTTGCAACTATAACAAAATTGTACCAAAGTACCTCAAGTTCCAAAACATCATGCTCTTACTGCATGAGAAAACTCACCAGATCGTAGGCATGGCTGAGATGAGTGGTATCCTGTCCAAGTGGGATATTTGTGAAGAAAATCGAGTAGGACAGTAGCATTAGAAAAAGTATCTAAAGCTCACAATTCAATTACATACTACTTTTGTGAAGCCATGTCCAATTATTACGTTTTAAATGCGGAAAAGTTATGGATAAAGTATGAAGGGAGGAAACTAGTTGTATGGGACTTTCGTTAGTAATCGATATATTTATCATTCCTCAGAACGAGTACT